ACTGTTTTCCACTTTAATTTTATGCTTAACAACATGTTGAAGATTATATTTTGAACTTGTAAAATTAAAGCGATGCATCATATCCTGCTAGGATACTCATTTGTGGCCCAGCATTGCATAGTGTGTAATATTCACTCTTATGACACTTACAATAAAAGGTGTAACCGTCTTAAAATGTCTAATTCTTTTGTCAGCATCATAGGGCATTATGTACTATATCAAATGATTATTTCATGTATGTTTATCTAGTCATTTATTTATGATATTTTCAAGTACATGTAATACTGTAAATCAGTCATAACAACTGTTAGACATTTCACCTTTTATTTGTGATGTAACTGCATAAGGGTGCTTAATTGTACATGATGTATATGCTTGACAGTCTCTTTGTCGAAAGCAATAGCGTAAGGAATAAAAGATGGCTTGTTGTACATTGATATTAAATCTAGGTACATTGAGGTATGTAACTGGCTATTAAGATAGATTTGTAATTGTTATATAAACATCAAGCGATTATCAATGAATAGCAGAGAAAGAACTTTGAGCAGAAGTGCCAAAATGTGCAAAGGAAATCAACTTTATTCACATCACTGGTGAGTGGTGACACATTCATGCACAAAAAACAGCATCCTGAAACATGAAATTAAGAAGAAACACAAGTTTGTTGTTCATTTAGAAATGAACTATTATCAACATTGGGGTTTAACGTCAATGAAAGGGACCTCTTGATTTTCATTCTTAATTTCTAACACTGATTTTTATCGAGTATATGCAGATTAAATGTTATTTCCTTACTATTTATTATTTTATTTCCTTCTCACTATCCAAAACCACTGTGATCAATGTGATTAAAAAAGTAGGTTCACCATGAAAAACATTTTTTATTTGAAAGTACAAGTGGACATGAGCATGTGTCCACATGCTGTGGGTGAGGTGAGCTGAAGTGGTGGGCTGAGCTGGGGTGCAGTGGGTGAGCTGAGCTGTCTAAAGCGCCAGGCTAGTGATCCACCGAGCTGGAGGTGTCGGGATTCAGCCCACCTGTGACTGGAGTGTAAAACCTTGGAGTCAACATTGTGTGCCGACTCTTTCAGTGTTGTCACAACCCTAGTGTACAGTACACAACCCTGTGCATTTAAAGAACCCACAAATCCGTTGGTACATGACCAGATGTGACATGAATATGTGGCCACATGAACGTTCAGTGTACAAAGTACTGTGACTATGTGTCCCTCGTTAGGATGAAAAAGCCACAATAACTTGGTATTAGCCTCTAGTGGCTGCAAGAGTTGTATACTCCCCAGGAGTTGAGATTGATAATATGATGTGCCATTGAGATTGACATCCAATGATCGAGGGGAAAAAATACCAGCCTTGAGGCATGCAACTAGTTGTGTGGATATGTAGACTATATAAATATCCTATAATAAAAGTGGGAGAGTAAGGTCATATGGGTTACACATAGAAACAACCCTTTCTATATGTAAGTTGATTTCACGTATATGGACCATACAATCTTGTGATTGACATCCATGCAGTTCATGGACTCTGATGACCCTAGTTCATTAAATCACCTCTTGTGCCAAGCAAAGGCAATTTTACTGTACAAAACGATTGTCCATATCTGCATCATGCTTATATCAGTGTAGTTAAATAACAGTTTGGAGATATGCCCACTTTGGCTTATTACGAGATATCATGATGTCAGTCTGTAAATAACTGGACTGGAGACAACCAGCAACAGTCCAAGCCATCAAGCTGTGATGACCTACAATTGCCAAGTTGTACATAATGGAAAGCCTGCTTGCCTATTCTCATTTGTTGTCTCAAGCTGCAATGGTGCCCTGGCTCTTGTCCCAGTGTTACTCTTGATATGTTAACAAGGTTAGAGTATGGTAGACCCTTTCAGCAGAAGCAACAACCATGATATGACTTTTGTCAGATTGCATTGTATGGAGCATATAAGTACTTCTTGATGGGCCATCTTGTTTGCATATTTATTGGATTGTGATACCAAGTTTATTGCACTGATAACAGGAGTCAGTGTATGATGAGGTGAGGTGAAATTGGGTTTAACGTCCTGCTTGAGAATATTTCGCTCATATGACGACGCGCATGCGTGTGTATGTGTATGTGTGGCTGCTTGTACTAGCCCAGACTGAAGCTGGTTTTATAGTGCTAGCCCACTGAGATACCATGCCGCAGTGAAACATGAATACCCCACTCAGACACATTATACTGACTCGAGCCGACCAGTCCTTGTTGTACCCATTAATGCAGAAGCCAGGCAGGGACCAACAAGTACCATATTTTAATGTCTTTTGGTATGACGCGGTCGGTGATTGAACCCGCGACCTTCTGCTCTCCGGGCGGACGCTCTAACCACTACACCACGGAGGCGGTCCAGTGTATGATGAATTATGAATCCAACATTGAAGCTGCTTTGTCTCTTACAGAAAGGTTTGTTTGAATGTTTGGATAAAGTGTGAGTGGAAGTGTTTTGGGCAAGAATGTGTACCTCTAAGGAGCAAAGGAACACCCTGTCCACAGAGCTATTCCTACTCACAGAACTGTGTATATATCATCAAGTATACGGACTGGCTAGCAATTCTGCCATTGAGTAAAGTGTAACAATTTACATAACAACATAGACAAATATTCAACAAGAAATGGTTTATTTAGTGGTAAAATATATTAAAAAACAATGTTAATAGAAACACTTGTAAAGTTGATAACACTGCCATAGTAATTAATTGCACATTTCATGGACATATTTATAAATAATTTTTGTACATAATATCAAACGAAACATGAAGGAGTAGTAATAAGATATGAATACAATTAGCAGAGATGAATATCCTCAATGTTTGTAGTGGGTGATTTCATTGTTATCCACTATCTTGTTAAACATGCAATTTTCAGATAAAATATTTTAATAAAACTCAGTTAATTAAAGTAAGGGCTCAATTTAAGCATTTAGAACTTGCACTAGTGCAAAATGCATTCTCCTATTTATTTATTCATAGAGTTCACATTCATTAAATGTAACCCATATGCAACAAGTTGAACAACAAAAGTGTGATTTTGGCTTTTATTCACATTGTGATTTTGTAAACATATGAACTCAATTTCTCTGAAGATTTCAAGGGTTACTGATATTATATTGACTTGGGCTAAAGATGGATTTCATGTTCCAAAGCTTTGTAAAGATATATATTTCCTACAAATTTGATACAAAACATTAAGTTACAGTGAAATATCTGCTTGCTTTCATTACCCATGAGCAGTTTACTCTGATGAAACATTAAAGAAACTTAAAGTTGAAATTGTTTTACCCCCAAAACATTAAAACAGCATTTGGTTTGCTTTTTGTATTCTGAGGGCCATAGTTGTAGGTAATATAACAGTTATTATACATTTTTATAGACCAAATATGGATATGGCCACTTTTTTGTTGAACATATACCAGCATTTGTTACACATAAAAGTTTTTACTGGTCTATCTCATTTCAAATCATATCTTTACTAACATTCAAACTCTAAAGAACCCTGTGAGTTTCTGTTGACCCTTGACCTGAGGCAGGAGTTGTCGACGGCAACCCTTCTTTGAAGCTGGAGCTTTTTTCTTCCGAGCAGCTGTTGGTTGTGACAAACTTGGTTGAGACAGAGTGGGTTGAGATAAAGTGTCATCTGTGGTCTTCGTGTTTTTGCTCACTTTGTCACAGATCTTTCTCTTCTTGGCTGGTTGATCAGACTTCAGTGGGGGCTTTGTACAGAGATTCTCCTTGTCCAAGGCAGCACAGGTCCCACGCTTCTTGGCAGGTGGCATTCCCAGCAGGATCTGGGCCGTGTCAGGGCACGCATGGACAACTGTTTTACTGAAATGAAGATGTGGAGTAAATTATAGAGTTGCTCAACTGTCACTTTTAACTGTGTCAAACAACTGCAATTATAATATACATTGGTCATTTGTGTCAAAAACTTCAACCAGTATCAGTGTGGATTTTTCATGTTTATTAAAACTGACTTGTTAGATAAGTTCTTGTTACATTCAAACTGTTGAACTAGAAAACTGCAAGTTCTTTAACCTCTACTAGCGAGTGAACAGTTATCGCCGCGCAACAGTTATCGCCAATACATCAGTATCACACGTGCGCAGTTCCGGTCAATTACAATTCTGGTATTTTTCCCACGGTATTTCACAACAATAAAGGACAGCAAAAGAAAATTCTTCACGGCAAGTAACATAAGAGAAAAATTAAAGATAAAGTTATGAAACCTATAAAAAAAGTTAACTTAGTCGGGGGGATGTCCCACGACCTATATCATAGCAAGTTGATGTTCACAAGTCATTAATTGTTTCATTCCCTATCAATCTACTGTAAAATAAACACTCAAATAGTCACAAAATCAATTATTCGAGGTTACTGTGTGATATAAATATATATTATTTCATGAATGGCATGAGAAATTCTGAATGGCGATAACTGTTACAGTTAGTTGTGAGAAAACATCTATTTATACTGCCATGATTCCCTTATACTGCCGACCGCTTCTATATAAATATGATCGGCGGCAGTGAACGGGCTGGACACACGGTGAATAGCTAATAAAGTATCATAATTAATTCTGTTTCATGAATTTAACGAACGACAGAGTAATTTTGCAAATACCGCTAAAATATGGCAATAACTGTTCGCTAGCCAGCAGAGGTTTGGAAATGAGGTGATTATAACTGAGTAAGAGTGGAATGAGCGAGTATAATTTTATGCCGTTTTTGGCAACATTGTGCCAACATCACAGCAGTGGTCACCAGAACAGGGATTCACACATTAAAAGCTTGGCCTTTTGGCTGACGAAAGTAAATACTTTATGACTAAGCTACCTCTCCACGCTTGAATGACCTGAAATGTCACCACAAATTTATCTTTTCGACAATTACTGAACACCACACACAATTGCCTGATGTCTCACCTTGGAAACACAATGACAGAATTGAGCTGTTTACTTGGGTCAACTTTTCTCCACATGGCAACACAACTTCAGAATTTTCCTAAAAGGAAAACAAAAACGTAAGTAATGTGTTTCTGCAATAAAAGCAAATTTTAACAGATCATAAAGAAACTGTTTCAGTTTCATACACCAGCAAAAATGTTATAATTAGGAGATAATCCATTTGTGTTTACATTTTGGAAGTGATTATAGCTGGTTGAATGTTGCTAAATGAAACATTTAGCAGCGTTCAACCAACTATAATCACTTCCAAAATGTAAACACAATAGGATTATCTCCATTCTACCATGACATATGCACCATGAATAAAAGCACGCGTTTTAAATATGCACTCATTACCCTTTAGCGTAGTGTTTTGACAGGCCTAGACTACAATCCCATTACCCTCAACAGCTTATAACAACGGTTCTGCACTGCTTCCTGTTACCTGTTACCGGACAATGGACTAGCCCAAACACATGAACACACAAGATTTAATGTTTTAATTTATGGATTTAATTACACAAATAAATGTATATAATACACAGATATCTTCCTGGCCGTGACATGAATATGAGCAGCAGGTCATGTTAACTTTTTAATGTTAATTTTTGTCTTTAAACAAGTCTCTCATCCCAATTTGAGGAGATGGCCCACAGCGTCAAGGAACTGCATTGGTGTTTCTGTGAACAACATCTGGATGCCAAACGCATCTTCGTACACCTTCGTGCTGCCCTAGTCTATCTGGGAAATTTTCGCTTCTCAGCTTGTTCAACTTTTCCTGGACTCTCAACAAATCGGTAGATGTTGGGGTGTCGGCGTGGGAGACCCCAGGCGGTTGGGAATCCTCTAGTTGTTGTTTGTCCTGACCTGTTGAGTGATGTTCCACAGTGGCAGCCGAAATCTCAAGGCTCGTCGGTCGCTACTCCAGGTAGTCACCTTTCATAATCGCTGAAGGTGGCCGCCTTCTGGTACATCGGGAGCTGCCGCCCATGGCGCTAACCCACGGTCCTGGATACTGTTTCAGTAAAAGGCAGTTCAGTCAGCCTTTTCTTACCTGACATCTGGATATTTCCTAGATCCTTCCTGTAAGCAACAGCAAGTCTCAGATCCTGACCTTCCTCCAAATGGCCCGACAGTAGTGTAAGAAGCAAACCCTTCACTTCAGCACTCGGAAACTCTCTCTCTCTATAGCATGAATAGAAACTGGACATTATGATGTTTACATACTCATACCTTCGGTACTTAGAGTTACTTTGGGTGATTGTTCAGTCATTTCATGTTGGAACCAGTATGGGTCAATATTTTCCTCCATATCCGATCCAAACACATCAAAGAAATCACCGAGGTCAAAGCGTAACAGTTTCAGGCGACATGTTTGTTTACTGTTGTAAGGGTTAATGAGTGCAAAATATTCCTACTTCTAATTTTTTTTAGTAACAGCCAATCAAAAAGAACATGCTTAAATGTCATGGTAGAATATCTGATATATTCCTGATATATTATCAGAACAATATGAAAATAATTAAGATATACACTATGCTCTACTCCAATGTACTGACTGACTGACTGACTGAGTTTGGTTTTCGCACGCTTTTAGCCATATTCCAGCAACATCCGTCGGGGGACACCAGAAATGGGCTTCACACATTGTACCCATGTGGGGATTCGAACCCGGTCTTCGGTGATGACGAACCAGCGCTCTAACCATTAGGCTAGCCCACCGCCCCTACTCCAATGTACAGTGTAATAAAGTACTATTATAGTTAAAGTACAAGGACACTTGCTGTTGGCACCTTTGCTCTTTCATTTAAGCATATTTAGAATAACTATACAAATATTCTGGTAGTTTGGGCATGTGACATGCTCACTTGCTTGTGGCAGACAAGAGGAGTCACTGACTGGGAGTGGGATATCATGACAACCATGTTATAATGATGGAACTAGGAGCATAGCTATAGAGGCTAGTCTCACATCATGTCAGTAACTATCAAGTTCATGTAGACATGCTCTGCTGATGTATTACCCTGACTTACATAGGCTGTGATGTTAGTCCTGTCGGACAGTCGGGTGACATCAGGCTTGTCAGGGCTGTCCTCTTCCATGGCGACAATGTCAGGGGACCTGCAACAGGAGAATGTAAATGCCTACAGTACAGAGTACAACATTCCCTCTGATATCATCCGCGATAGTCCAGGTTAGCTATTCTCGAAACGTTCATAGCCCTATGAACTTAAGCCCATTCTTAACACATTGGCTACGATCAAAGTTAACAAGTCTTAGGGCTACGAACGTTTCTGGAATAAGGGTCCAGGGAATTATATCTTGGTTATGATAAATACCCTGAACCCATCTCCATTATACCCATTGATATCATAGGCTTTGTTTTTACAAGGGAAATCTCAGTCTCTCCTGTCTCTAACTGGGCCAAGAATTGTTCTTGCTTATGAGTCATTTGATTGGATGACAAGTTTTAGCAACTTGCAATTCTTAATGACAATAATGGTAAGATACTCTATGGATGACAACATGTTAATCTATTATGAGACATTTCGGTATATATCCTTATACCATTGCCAAGCAAGAATGTCACATTCTACCTATGTGTAGAATTGAACCTGGGCCATTTGCCAGAGGAGCAAACACTGTAACCACTTGGTTATCCATGCCCACTTCAACCTGTGAAACCATTGTGTAGGTATCAGTCGCTGTGTCCTGCTACACACAGAAACAGGTTCTTCACATACCTGAACTGTGACATGAGGCACGGGACTCTGGTTGGCGTGGTGGGGTTCAGTGCCATGTCACTGAGGTACATCTCACAGGAGTTGTCTCCCCTTGGGTACTGGCCATTTTGTCCAGCAGTATCTTGATAACTCTCAGAGTCCGTCGTCCTATCAGAGATCCTCCTTCTGATGCGGGCTGCAACATCATTAAGTATAAAATTCTAGTTTGATGGTATTGTTTATTACATAATGCAAAGTTTTCATTCACATTCACTGGCCTAAGTGCAGTCACATCTCAGCAGACTGAAACACATATAAACTCCAACTCAGATGTGATAACTTATGGTATTCACTTAAGTCATTAAAAACAGAATGGGAATTACAAGGAAGTGGTCTCACCAACCCTTAGCCAATCAGATGTCTCCATTTAATGGAACCTCCTGACAATATTTTAACATATTGTTTTCATCTGATAATGCAGTTATATACCTGTTTTTCTATAGACCCGAAAATTCAGTATTGACTGAAGAAGAACTCCAAGGTTAAAACAAGGAAATGACATCAAATAACAATTGCATTTCTCCTAAAAAAGATGTACAAATATTTAACTGACAACCTCAATAACTTTTAGTAGTGCCTTTTTAATATTAGTATCCATTTCCTGACAACTAATGTTTGGTTCAAGGCATCACTGGTGGTAATCTCATCACAACTGTTGCACACATTTCACACACAATTTTGCTGAAATTATTATCAACACTACTAATTAAACATATAAATGAAATAAATATTGATACATTGAGTAAGTGAGTTTAGTTTTACCGGTTTTAGCAATATTCCAGAAATATCACGCAGGGGACACCAGAAATGGGCTTCACACATTGTACCCATGTGGGGAATCAAACCTGGGTCTCCAGCTGATGAGCTTTAATGCTTTAACTACTAGGCTACCCCACTGCCCCCCGATAAATTGAAAACACTGATATGGACTACAGATTTGATGAACACATTTTGGTGGTTTCTTGCAGATCGTTATATCCAAGTTTTCTTAGTATTTGAAAAATTGAGACCTTTGTCTGGGGTGTGAGCAGTCCTGGTCTCGAGGTCTTCGGACAATCTGTGAGATGCAGTCGTAAAGTTGCTCAGTCACCACCTCTACATCCTCCTTCCTCAACTTAAGCAGCTTACATTTGACAAGTCGATTCTTCACAACGTTTAAGATGCTACATGCAGACCTGAAATCACCACAACATAAGTACAACTTTAGAAAACATTTGAATCAACAAACTGTTGCATGCCGATCATGTTGGGCTCAGGGACCTAATTATTTCCCCCAAATCCAATGGTCACTCATCTTGACCTCATCTATGTCTGAACTGATTTAAAATCAGATACAAATTCTTAGGAATCTTTAAACAAATCACAGCTGGGATATGCCCTGGAAGGTGTCACACCTTTATAGTTTAAGAGATGTGAAAAATGTAAAAGTGTATGAGGTGAGGTTTTATGTGGCATTCATGATAATTTTACCTCTCACATAGCAATGTATACATGTGCAGCTGCTTGTATTCATTGTATTGTACGGTAGACATGATGTCACAGTGTAACATGAATAACCAACTTAGACATGTTATACTGACTCCGAAGTCAGCAGTCCATGTCTAATTACCTTAAGGGCATTTATCTTTATCACCTTGTTGTTGGAGGACGAGTCGGAAGGTGATGCCACTTCTTAGATGTCAATCTCTGATTTGTTGTGACCCATACACACCTGAATGGTTCTGACAAATCTAGAAAAAACAATCAGGACGTAATCTAGGATCCTGGGTGCCTAAGGATGTAACTCTGTAACGTGGAATTCATAGCCATAGACCAATCGGGCCAACTGTACAAGAGAGTCAACAATTGAGGGCTAACCTGGAACATGGACATCTATTCAACAGAACGACAGCATGAAAAGTGAGGTAACGAGGTAGACGGCTTAGAGTTACCTGCTCTTGGCTGTAGGGGGTCCGGTGGGGCCCTGTAGGATAGTCTCACAAGACAAAACTAATTTTTGTTTTGTAAACATTTTATTAAAAAATATAGTTACAACTGTCGAGGATTTAAAATGGACATTTAAATGCTTATATGTACCCCAAGCGAGGACTTCTTCTGAAAAAAGAACTAGAAGAACAAACAGGACGATCTTAATCTAGGATCCTGGCGTCTAAGGGATGCAACTCTGTGAATGTGAATTCAATGCACATAGACCACTGGGCCAACTAAAAACAAGAGAGTCAACAATTGAGGGCTAACCTGGAACATGGACATCTTTCTTCCTCTTGGCCTCGGGTGGTTTTAGAGCAGTGAAGGTGATGGTGGTCCAGCTCCCGATCTGGTACATTGAAGATCACTTTAGCTGATCTGATATCCCTTGTTATAATACTCTAACATCAACTTCCTCTTCTCTAAATCATCCATACTGAAGATCACTAAGAAAATGTCGTCTGCTAGCAAGTAAACAAGGGGGATAACTCTTCACAAACTAATAAAAGGATTAACAGATTTATCTCTCTTGAATGAAATAGAAGCACTTGATAGCTGGTCAAAGTTGTTGTTTACTACTAAATCCAATTAAACATCTTCCTAAAATTCTCAATAATTTCTGGTCATGCTATAACTCCTGATATTTTGCCTTACGTCGGTTATGTAAAAAGAAAAGTAACATTAGGGACCGTTCATAATTTATGGGAGAGGAGGGGTGGGGTGGGGGTGGGAATTTGATTTTTAAGGAGAAGTGTCTGACATTTTGTTCTGGGGAGGTAGGGGTCATCGTTGTGTACACACGTTTCTAGGAGGGTCATCAATTTTGTACATAATTTTTGTTAAATGCCATTGATTTTGTACGCGACATGCAGGGGTCACTTACTTTGTACATACATTTAAGTGTGTATGTGTGTATTATTGAAAATTCACATTGTACGTACTTCTCCATAAAAATCCTATCACTCTCCTAGCCATAAGGTATGGACGATTCCCTTATCTCTTTAAGAGCTACACTCGAGAGCCTTGATAGAGATTACAAAATAATGATCCGCAATTATAAAGTAAAATTGATTAGTAGCGCAATGAAAATTTCCCTTTTTATAAAGCAGCCACATTTATGACGATCATCTCCATTAACGACGTTATCTTTAGTAATGGAAATCCTCGTGTGATACAATAACACTCTTGGGTCCCTCGATATCCAATGACCCCACGTGAGTCAATGACAGTCTCTTTAGTTTTGAGTTGACGTATTTGTTGCTCTCTAGATATATTTTCAAGAGTCCAATTGGGTTTGCGTGCATGCGTGCGTGCATGCGTTACCACGTACGATAACGTCTGTCACGTGCCAGTTATGTCTACTCAGTTGTCCGTCTCTGGACCTGTACAGGTATCCTCTTGAAACATGCTTGTCCTGCCATCTAAATTTCAATAATGAATGATCATACACATTGACTTCGCGTATATATGTGAGGGGTGTGTGGTTGTATGTATGTATGTATGTATGTATGTATGTATGTATGTAGCATATGTATGTATGTATGTATGTATGTATGTATGTATATGTGTAGATATTATCATCCATAGCTACACAGTTACAACAAATACAGACCCTCGGGCGAGGAACATATTTTGTCTCTTTAGTATACCTGTCTCGGGCATCTGCGTTTCAACAACTTTTCAAGATTATTTCTCTAAATATAAAGTTTCTAGTGCTTTGCCTACTACAACCTGAGTTTCGTCTGAAGATATAACTTTGAACCAATGTTTGGTTTAACAGTCCAATGTAGATGGCATCTGGCAGAAGTCCCTCAATTAATTAGAGTTTGAGAGGGATGTGGTTCTATTCTCTACTACCCTTGCCATACATAACCCTTTTCATCTAAACAGCTGACGGCTGACAGAAAAGGATTGAAAAGAACTGGCTTTTGTGGTGGCGAGTTGGTGTCTTCCAGAGTTGGACGCACCTTAATAATGCTAAGAATGTACTAATATACTAGAATGTATGCTTTGCCTAAGAAAGTGTAATCTCAATCATAATGTTTGGGTGAATTTCCTAGAAATTTGCAGAAACATCTATGTGATTCACATTTTCGAAAATAATTCCCACAAAATCTGAAGGCTCGTTCAATTTTTAAAAGGCAATTGTTAAAAATGGAAGGGACGGTAAGCGAAGGCTTTATGTCGATTTGTGAGTAACAGTCTTACCCTACTTGATGAGCATAGAACTTGCGATTCGTTACATACAAATATATTAATTATGGATTATGAAAAATGTTTGCTTTCAGAAACGCCGAAGGTGGCGCATCCAATTTACGACTTCATCAAAACTTCGAGAACATGTTTGAATCTCTAGAAAAGTCTTCATGGTGGAATGGACAAATGTGTTTAAAGTATTGTGCTTCAACCCGCGTTCTCCTGGCTGTGACGACAGAGGAGCCAGCAACCACCACACGAAGCAGGATTTTGCTTGTATCAATATTATGGACGACCACTCCGGCATCATTGCTATATTCTGAGTATTGTTTTACGATTCTAGGGTTGTCGCTTGACTTTGTGATGATTTCACTGAAGACAAAAAGATATACACGCTATTTCCTCTGAGTTTGTTTCCTCGAAACAAATGACCCGATCATCTAAGTATATTGTCACTGATGGGGTCTTAACACTACCTAATTGGTGGTAAAACCAGTCGGTATTAATATTCTGTACAGCCAGTTTTCACGTGACAAGTCCCTGTAGCCATCCATGGCCATCCAGTTGATTACGTTGACCATTAGGTGCCCATGTGTTCTATGCTGGAGATTCACCATGTAGTCATACGAAAGGCAAGATCCACCAGAACCACTATCAAACTATTCTCGTTGACAGTATGACTCCATATGACATTTAACCGCGGTTGACTATGTAAAAGAAAGATAGACTTTCGTCCGGACCAATGAACTCCTACACCATGTCCTCAAGTTGCAAAGTTTTCTCTGAGTTTGCACCTCTCCGGACATCCTACCACATGTTTCCTGTTCACCAAAGCGGGGAAGAGGTGT